CAAGAAGCTTGGGTCAGTGCCCTCTGCTCCCCAGCAGGAGAGTTCAATCTTTTTAAAGGCCAGGAAATAAGCAAACACCATGAGCAAAAAGAAATGTGTGATAAGTGGAGATCAAGGCAGAAATTCTGAAGAGGACAACATTGTCAACAAACCCACATCTGGAACCTCACAAGGGAATATGAACTGGTCCGAAGCCCAAAAAGCCTTCTTAGAAGAGCTCAAGAAGGATTTTAAAAGTCAAATGAGAGAGGCAGAAGAAAAAAGGGAAAAGAAATGAGAGGTATGCAAGAAAGAGTCAATAACTTGGAAAAGGAAGGACAAAAATGAACTGTAGAAAACAAGTCCTTAAAAAATACATTTGGCCAACTGGGGGAAAAAAGTACACTGAAGAAAACAAGTCCTAAAAAATACAATTGGCCAAATGGACAAGGAGATACAAAATCTAATAGAAGAAAACAATTTGTTAAAAATTAGAATTGGGCAAACGGAAGCTAATGACTCTATGAGAGAGCAAGAATCAGTCAAACAGAAACAAAAGAATGAAAAAATAGATGAAAATGTAAAATACCTCATTGGTAAAACAACAGACCTGAAAAATCAATCCAGGAGAGACAATTTAAAAACTATTAGTCTACCTGAAAATCACAATGAAAAAAAGAGCCTGGACAGTCCCTTTCAGAAAATCATAAAGGAAAACTGCCCTGAGATCCTAGAACCAGAGGGTAAAATAGCCATAGAAAGAATCCACTGATCACCTCCTGAAAGAGATCCCAAATTGAAAATGCCAAGGAATATAGTAGCCAAATTCCAAAATTACCATGTCAAAGAGAAAATACTGCAAGCAGCCAGAAAGAAACAATTTAAATATCATGGAACCACAGGGAGGATTACATAGGACCTCGTAGCTTCTACATTAAAAGACCATAGGGCATGGAATATGATGTTCTGTAAGGCAGAGGAGCTTGGATTACAACCAAGGATTAACTACTCGGCAAAAATGAGCATGATCTTTCAGGGGAGGAGATGGATATTCAACAAAATAGGGGACTTCCAAACCTTCCTGATAAAAAGACCAGAGCTCAATAGAAAATTTGATCTTCAAATTCAAAATTCAAGAGAGACATAAAAAGATAAATGGGACAGAAATAAACAACATGTTATTAATAAGGGCAAACTGTTTACACCCCTACAAAGGAAAATGACACTTGTAACCCTTGAGAACAGTATTGTTATTACACCATATTAAAAGGGTATACATAAAGGAGGTGGGTATAAGTTGACTTTGATGTAATGATAAAAAAAATCTAAAGTGGGTTAAATGAATCCAAGTAAGTGGATTAATCTGATCTAAGAAAATGTACTGAGAGAAAAGGAAAGGAGGAGGCAGACAAGGGTAAATTACATTACAGGAAAAGACACAAAAACCTGTTACAGCAGAGGGAAAGAAAGGAGGGAGATGAGCATTGTTTGAACCTTACTCTCACCAGATTTGGCTCAAGGAGGGAATAACATAATTAGTTAGGTATAGAAATCTAACACACCCTATAGGCAGTAGGAGGGAAAAGGGGAAAGAAAAGGGAGGGGAGAGAAAAGGAAGGAAAGAAGTAGTAGGGGTAAAGGGGAAGAAAAAGGAGTGGGCTAATAGAAGAGAGGTGGGACTGAGGGAGGCTATGGTCAAAAACAAAACTCTCCATAAATGTTAGCTGTAATAATAGCTAACATTGACATAGCACTTTAAGGTTTGCAGAGCACTTTACAAATATTGTCTTATTTTATTCTCATAACAGCCACAGGAGGCAGTTTATCTGATGTGTCAGTAATATCATTGTAGCATGGGAGGGGGCAATCTGCAGAAGACAAGAAGGGTGCACATAGATGGCTTGGCTTTGGCAAAGAGAGGAACTACCTCTTCATCTGAGACCAAATCGCCTGGAGTCTAGACAGTTCTAGGAAAGTTGAGGAGACAGGACAGTTTGGGGGTAAACTGAGTTTAGTTTTGGATATATTGAGTTTGAAATGCCCATGGGACATCCCATTAGAAATATCCAAAAGGTCATTGGTGATGAGGGACTGCACCTCCAGAGAAAGACCAAGGATGGATATTTAGACCTGAGAATCATCTGCATGGAGATGATAACTGAACCAATGGAAGCTGATGAAATCACCAGATAAGAAAGGGAGGAGAAAGCCCAGGACAGAACTGTGGGGAACATGGATGGTTAACATGGATCAATAACTGAAAAGCAAAAAACTGAAGAACAAAGGAGACTGATGCTAAGGAGTTTGACAGATAGGAGAACCAGAAGAGAGCAGTTATCCCAAAAACCTAGTGTGGAGAGAGTATCCAGGAGGAGAGGGTGATCAACAGAGTCCAATGTTTCAGAGAGGTCAAGAAGGATCAGGACTGAAGAAAGGCCATTAGATTTGGCAATTAAGAGATCACTGACATTTTCAGTTGTATGATGGGGTCAGGAGCCAGAGTGCTGAGGGCTTAGAAGAAAATGAGAGGAGAGGAAATAGAAGCATCTTGTGTAGATTGCTTTCTCAAGGAGTTCATGAAGGAGAGGAGAGATAGAGGATGATAACTAGTGGAGTTGGTAGGATCAAGTGAGATGTTTGTAGATAGCAGAAAAGGAGCTAGTAGATAGGGAGAGACTGAAGATGCCAGGAATAATAATAGCTTTTCATTAGATAATATGTTAAGATTTTTTAATGCCTTTACATGTTTATTTCACTGGAGGAAGAGCAGTAAGTTCTTGGCAAGATTCATTACTACTATTTACAAGATTCATTACTTAACTAGTCCCCTAGGTGGCACAGGAGGTAATAGCAATGGCTATTAAGGAGTCAGGAAGACTGGATTTCAAAGACTACCTCAGACATTTACTTGCTATGTTGTCTTGGGCAGCTCCCTCAGTCTCTTCATCTGTAAAATGGCAACAATGATAGCACCCTCAGCAAAGGGTTGGTGTGAGAATCCAATGAGGTAACATCTGTATCTATAGCTATAACATAGCTCTTATCAGCTTCTTGGCCATGTGCAAACGGCAACCTCCCTGAGCCTTTAAAAGAAGAGGGTTAGATTGGATGATGTAGAAGAGCTATTAGAGGTACAAGGCCTGAAGTTTTACAATTCTGTTAAAAGAAAACTTAAAGGAGTCACACCGAACTTTGAAATTAACTACATTCATGTGAGATTTTTATAATCTGGGGGATTCAGCTTCATACTGAATGAGATATAACCTCTGTGAAGACTTCTCAGGGTGGTAATGAAAAGACTGTCTAGAAACTAGAGATGAGCTCTGAGAGAACGAACAGGCCATAAGTTTAATTCGGCCCTAAACCCTCTCCTCATTGCCACTGCCACGTTAGCGTTAGGTATACTAAATAAGGACATGTATGTTTGGATTGTCTATACCCTGTTTCCTTGTTCTTTGGGAATGGGAAAGATTTTACACCTAGAATGTAAGCCCGCCTCCCAGCCAATGGCAGTAAGGGATAGTGGCGGGTGGGAGTTTCTTGTTTGCGTTAAGACATATAACCTTGCTTTGTCCTTTGTGCCTCCCCTCTCTCTTGCTGGTAGTGTACTGGAGAAGTAGACGCCCCTTCTCCCGAGACTGTAATAAAGACTAACTTTTTGCTTCCAACTTGAGAAGTCTCTGAATTTAATTGTTAGAGTCGCTGTACCACACAATACTCAGAGTAAATAGCTACTGTCAAATTATTTAAGTAGTAGCGCTGAGTTTCAGTAGACATTAGGATTAGGTAGGCAATAACATAATGCTATTTTGTCTTTTTGGGCGACAAAATGTTAAAATGTATTTTCTATGATGCAATGTTACAATACCACATGGAAAAAATACTCTTGGTAGGAGACAGAACTTTAAGAAACCATGTTGGAGGAAATGAAATTAGAAACATAGTATCTGAGCCAAAGGACTTTGAATAGGAATGTTACTTCCTGAATGTTACTACAGGGGGCTGTGGGCTTCTGTCTGTCTTATTGTGGTATGGAAGTATTGAGGTTTAGGGGTGCTGGGACCTCAAAATCACAACACGCAGATCCTGCTTGAAAGAATTTCACCCAGGTCTTCTTTCAGCCAAAGACAAAGTTTATTAGCACATCTGTCATATTGGGCAGACTCTTAAAGAGTCTGAACTTTAGTGAGCTGTGGTTAGATTGTAAGAATCTGAGCAGTGGCTAGATTATAAAAATCTGAGCATCTTAATGGAGACAAGATAGAACAGAACGCCTGGGACCTGGACCTCCTGGCCAAGGGAGAATGGAACCTAGCTATAATTAAGGGTGGAAAATAGCCTGGGGCTATAGGGAGAGGGCTAGGCTAGGTTAAGGGTAACAGAATTGGGAGATTGGGTGTAGCCACAATGAAAGGCCAGTTGATGGGATTATAGCCTCAGGCAAACACCAGAGATTTGGCCTTGTGGGCAAGTCCAGGGTTTTTCCTTTTTGAGGTCTAGATCCCATCCTCATCAGAAGGGATGCTTACTTTCCTCTCTTATGCTGGAGTTCCTTTGGCCTCGAGAAACAAACCAAAAAAACCCCACTCTTCTCCCTCCACTCCCCTGTAGGGTACTGTATTTATAAAGTAGATTCTTTTTCTTTTAGGAGCTCTCCAACACCAAGAATTCGTAGGAAAAAAATTATTTTTTTTAATGCAATCCTAAAGGAAAAAGTCACAGCAGTCATTAAAAGACTTGAACCACTACTGTAGCTCTGGAAAAGCAGGGGCTTTGGTATTACTGATGTGACATCCCTGGAGTGCCTAGCACAGAGACCTGTCCATAAGAAATAAATAGATCAATCAAGGATTTGTACTGTGTCATAGTGAGCATTCAATAAATATGCTTTTTAATTGGAATAATGTCATGAATTCCCGTTCCCAAGACTTTCTCTTAAGCTCCCTTGGGGGTCAGGCAAGTGACATCCAAAAGTGCTCTTCTTTACTTACTCCCATGCTCCTTATGTTACAATTAATGTCTTCCGTCAAAACGACTGACTTTTTTAAAGTTTATTTTAAAAAATTTTTTTATTCTTATTTTGAGTTTCAAATTATCTCCCTCCCTCCAGCCCTTCTCCCTGCATTGAGAAAGCAATAGGATACCTATTATCCATGTGAAGTGACGAAGTGACTAATTTCTAAATACGATCCCATTAAAACCTAGGCCCAGGAACTGAAAGTCACTTGATAATTCCAAAGTCTTCTAAGGCCAAACACAAACCCAGTCCACCAGATTAGATGGTCCTTGATCCCCTTCTTGCTTTCATTACATCCCAAAACCGAAGTCCAGAAGCCTCGGGGTGGGGGTGGGGTGAGGGGTGGGCAGGAGAACCGGATTAGAATAAGGATAACGAATGATTCCACTGAAAACCAATTAGAGAAGGTCCATTCCACAGCTTCCCGCCTGCACGCCCGAGACAGCAGCAGCGGCGGAGACGGCGCAGAAAGCCGCGGATGCGCTGGGATCCCCACGAAGGGGACGCGCAACGCTCCTTGGAGATACAAGTTGCGTGGTAGGAGCTCTAGAGGCCGCAGGCTCCGGGGAGGAGTGCAATACAGCCCAGCCGTAGCTTCGCTGACTTCCGCTTTCCTGGCTGGCTGACTGGCTGACCTGGGAAAGAAGGTTTAGAAGGGGCAGGATGGCCGGGACGAGCGGGCAGGCGAGCAGGGCTGCACGGTGCTGGCGCGCCACAGTCGTGCGACTATATAAGTCTGCGGGGGTGGGGCGGCGAGGGTTTGACACGTACCCCGGGTTAAACGGCCCGGTCAGGGCCTTGGAACGAATGCAGCTGCCGCCTCTAGCACTCTCACACCGCGTAGAGGCGGCAGAGGAGGAGGAGACAGAGGCAGCCGTTTCTTGGCGCCAGGCGCATTGGTGAGCAGTGCGCGGCGCAGGCCCGGGTCTTTGCAATGTGCGCGGGGCGCCTCGGGGAAAGGAAGGGAAAGCCGTACCCTGGAAAGAGTAGGGAAGGTGAATCTTCTGGTTTCTTCCTCTCGCTCGGTTTCCTGCGCTTTTCCGGGAACTGGCTCTGACATCTCCTTGCCCCTGACACGTGCAACCGGTACCTGCAGCGCTCGCGGGGACTAGAGGGTGAGAAGGACCCCTCTCCATGCTTTGTCCCTCCCACCCCAACTCCGGGCAAGGAAGAGCGGGAGGTGCACGAACTTCGTTGGACGGTTTTGTGCCTCAGAGATTTGAGAGTGCCCATAACAGCTGGAAGCCAGTTGTTCCCCCTCCCCGGGCCCCCTTGCCTAGTTCCTGCAACTGTCAGTGGCGGTATCCTTTCGTCCTGAGTGGTGTCATTTGGTTGTTGACCTTAGTTGTGCGGCTGCCTCAGTGCAGACAAACCGGGAGGTTTTATGAATGGGATGATGCCCTTCCAAGCTGGGTCATTGTACCATGGGTGGGAGGCAGCTTGGGCATTTGGAACTCTTTTTTATTTTTTAACCGGTTCAGTTCTCTGGAGAAAAATGTACCCACCCCGACCCCATACCCTTAGTCTAAGATAGCTATTTCCTTCAGGAAAGAGAAAGGTGACTGTTGAAACTGTTGCCACCTGAAAAGTAGCTTCTTTGTTTCTTTCTGAGGTCACCTCCATAGTAGAAATTGATTAAAAACAAAGTGGGGAGGTGGGAGAAGTTAACTTCAAGCCTTGGCTTTTGTGTTACCAGATCAGCTTTCGTATGTCCTCTCCTTTTCCAGCCTTCACCAAGTCAGAGTTGTTACCACCATTTCTCCTTGCTTTGAACCTGAAAATCATTACCATTAGGTGCTGGTAGACATTTTTACCAAGTTCCTTAGTCTGACTAACAAAAGCGTTAACTCCTTTGCTTCAGCAGAGTTATGCTCAACTGTATTCATTTTGAAGTAGTACTCATTCTTGGGATCTAGTCATACTCAAAAGGTGCATTTAACAGACGGTTCTGCTCTAAACCAGTTTCACATTTTTCTACCATCACTCCTCTGCCCCCCCCCAATTTAAGTTACTTTGTAAAAGTGTCACAAGGTTATTCTTATTATCTGCTATTAATTACAGTTTTCCCAAGACAGTATTCTATCAGTGTAGTGATAATTTTCTATATTAATGAATATGGGTTTCATTAAACCCTGTTACCTGGACTGGAGGTCTTGAGCAGAAAATCTGCATTACCATCATTCCTCAGAGATGTAAGGTGGAGTCTTCTGTGCCTTGGATTAGATGACTGTTGAGATCAGTTCTCATTGACATTTTTGGATTCTTAATTCTCCTTTGGTCCCCTCCTTTCTTCCTCCTCCTCCTCTCCTCCCCAAAAGCAAAATTAGATTTATTAGAAGCAGTTTAGTTTTTTTGTTTTTCAGATCTCTTGATTTTATTGCTGCTTCTTAGGAGCCCTGGCCATTGCATGAGGTTTGGAACTGATCAATTATGTGGTTTTAGAACTTTAGCTTGAACCATGGGACAACTGATCTGCCACATTTACAGTCGATAATTTTTCCCTTAGTTAACTCTTCCCTCCTAGTTTCTAGTAAGTCATCAGAATTCTTGTCAAGCAACACCATTAGACTTCATGTAGGTTGTGTATTGTTTGCAAGGACTTTCAGTTCTTCATTGACTTAAAGCTGTAATGTAACTTTACAATTAAAAAAATTGTGTGTGTGTGTGTGTGTGTGTGTATGTGTGTTTTAAGAGGTTTAATGATACCACACCAATCCTTTTTTAAAGTTTCCTAGATTTGCAGGGATACGTAGTAAGTCCTCATTAAATTATTTGAGAGACAGTAACTAGTTGTTAAGTCTATAATAATCAAACTGGATACTGTCAAAGGCTTGGTTAACATTGAATTTTCTTTCTTCCCAGGGGGATGCATTTTCAACCATAAGCTCTGGATATTTCTGTTCTAAGAGGGAGACAAACAGGTGGGACAATATGAAGTCCAATCCTGCCATCCAAGCTGCCATTGACCTCACTGCAGGGGCTGCAGGTAATCCCAGAGAACATTCAATTCTTCTAGTTCTCTCTATGCCTTTTCAGAGTGAGATTGGTGAAAGCCTAAGATACTTCTAGCCTTGGGGCAGCTAAGTGGCACAGTGGATACAGCACTGGCCCTGAAGTCAGGAGGACCTGAGTTCAAATCCAGCCTCAGACCAAACACTTGATACATACAAGCTGTGTGACCTTGGGCAAGTCACTTAATCCCATTGCCTCACCAAAAAAAAAAAAAGTTAGATACTTTCAGCCTCCCTTTTCTTTTGTAACATATCCATTATAGAGAATTTGACATATGTTCGTAGAAAATTACGGAAGGAACATATCCTTTCCTTCACTTTCTCACTAGTGTTTTATAATAAGATTCCTTTTGAGATCTACTGGACTATTCAGAGAAGCAGGAAAAGCAAATATTAGGTTGCTCTCACCTTAAGACTAAGGACTATTCTGTTCCACCACCCCCCAGCCCCTTTCTGTCTATCTAAAGCATGGTGCTTAGAGCCTAGTAGGTGCTTAATAAATACTTGTTGACTTTTGATAGAGCCTTCTTTGACATTCTTATGAAGTCTTTAGACTCCTGAATAATGTTTTTAAGTGCATAAATACAATGCATAGAATTACAAAGAAAACTAATTATGTTGAAACATAATTATCAATATTTAAAAGACAAGTTTGACCCCAGCCTAAGGATCTCTGTGTAGAGTTTATCATGTATATCCATATGAGAAATAAAACAGAGATTAATTTCAATTAAATAATATAGTTATGTACTAAATATTCCTCATGCCTCCTTGACAAGCTTCTCCACTACTTTGTAGAGATTCATGCCTCAGGTTGGAAATACTTGTCCTAAGTAAATGGCAAACAGTTGAATTTTACCTGAATGCGGCCTTATGGTTTCCTAATTCTACAGATTTGTCTTAGTCCCATAAAATGTAGGCTGTATAAATCTCTGAAATGTCTTTACAAACTTTGAAGTTTTTTTTTTCTTAGATCTCTCCTAATGAAGACTGAGAAGGGAGGCTAATGTCTTTCATTCAGACATTGTTGCTGCTGTACTTATATCTCTCAAACAAAAATTAATGAAGTCTAGTGATTCTGGGTGTGAAAATATGTTTTTCATTGTTCAGTTGTTTTAGGGAATGCTTTTTTATTTATTCACGTCAGGAAGCTTCAAGATTCTCATTACAGGTTTTATCCCATGAGTATATTTGCTCTGACAAAGAATCTCTTTTAAAGTTACTGTAATTGTCATTTCTTTCTATGACCACAGGCAAGTCACTTGCCCTATCTGAATTTAGTTTCTCCATCTATGAAAAGAAGGGTTTGTACTATAGTAACCTTAAGGTCCATTCCAGTGATAAGGTTCCTTGTGAGATCAGGTGAATGAATAGATGTTCCCTTTGGATGCAGCATTATATGTATTTAGAGGACAATATTTCATTCTGGATTTAGGTACTGGGATGCGTCTTATCATAGATTATACACTTTTTGTTTTGGCCAATATGTAGTATTTGAGAACAAAAATATGTAGTCACAAAGTACACCAATTGTTTCCTATCAGCCTCCTTCACCATAATGCAGCATTATATGTTATATATTATCAGTCAAACATGTACTGAGTGCCTGTTGTATGGCACTTTGCTGAGTGCTTTTGTGGAAGATACACAAATGTGTAAGATATGACTTGCCACCAATGGGCAGACCAGCAAGCCTTGTTAAAAAGCAACTGACCCTGAGGGAGAAGTAGGAAGTGTTGAGCAGGTTAAATCCCCTGGACCTCCTCTTCTCCTCATACCTTTAAGGCAGTCCAGGACTCTGAGCCCAAGAGCCTTGGGAATATCAATGCCACCCAGACCATCAGCCCTGCTTCCAGATTGACTTTGCAGCCATTATTGAAAGGAGCAACTTCTGTGGAGAAAGGGCCCATCATCCCCACTACTATTTTGTTGTTGTTGTTGTTGTTCAATTATTTCAGTTGTTTCTGACTCTTCATGACCCCGTTTGGGGTTTTCTTGGCAAATATACTAGTGGTTTGCTTCTCCGGCTCATTTTACAGGTGAGGAAACTTGAGGCAAAGAAGGTTAAGTGACTTGCCCAGGGTCACGTAGCTACTAAGTGACTGAGGGTGGCTTTGAACTCAAGTCTTTCTGACTTCAGGCCTGGCACTCTATCCATTGTGCTCCCTAGCTGCCCTCCCACTACTACTCCCCACAGTCACATACTGCCAATGGGCAAGTAAGCCCAAGAGGCCAGGGAATAGCATCCTCCCCCATTCCCAACCCCATTGTACTTTCAGCCAAGCCCCCATAGCCAAAGTCCAAAGAAACAACTTTTGTGGAGGTAGGGTTTGGCGACTTGCCTTTCAGCAGCCTGAGCTACCAAAACCCTAGAAAAGAAATTTCTCACTGCCAGAGGTCTTGGCGTTATCAAATGGATTAGCATTAGCAATGGATAATGGTTTTTATGGATGGAAATGACATTAAAGAAGATATATTGTCCTTCATTTTGTCCCCGAACTCTAAGAAAAATGGGGCCTCTCCAGCTGACTTGCCCATGAAATCGCTCTGTGTTGTCTCCACTGTTAGAACGTAATCTGCTTGTGAGCAAGGACTGTCTTGTTATTTTTCTGTTGGGATCCTCAGCACTTAGCACAATGCTTTACATATTTTTTCCCTTAATTTTTCTTGCCTTCTTCCTCCCTTCCCCTTTTTTACAACCTGGCTAATGTAGAAATATGCTTTACATGACTTCATATGTATAATAGGTATTATATTTCTTGCCTTCTCATTGGGTAGGGGGGAGAAACTTTGGAACTAAAAATAATTTTTAAAAAAAGCACAATGTTTTGCATGTTGTACGCACTCAGTAAATGTTTGTGTTTTTTTGTTTGTTTGTTTTTGGTTTGTTTAGACATCCAAATTGCTTATAACCTATTTAAGAGAACCTGTAACCCCCACTATCCCTGGCCTGAAAAATTCCTGGAGGATCTTGGCCCTTAGAATACTCATGCTATTCCCTGTCAGTTGCAGGGTAGAGGCTATAAGAGAAGATGCTTCCCAGGGAACAGGGTGAAATGAACCTGCATAGATTCAGAGTCAGATAATGCAGGACCTTGAATAGCAGGTATCGAGGAGAAACCATTGTGAAGGGTCTGAGTAAGGAAGCAGATGGTGTGTTAGGAAGGTCAATCTGGCGGTCTTGGACAGAATATTAGAGGCCAGAGTTGTCAGAGGAAGGGAGACCAGCTAGAAGGCATTTGTAGGGATTGAGACTTTGTACTGAAGTGATGGAGAGAAAATTCAAAAGAAGAAACCACAGGATTTGGTAGGAGGTTGGCTAGGGGATGAAGGAGCAGAAATGATCAAAGAAATCTGCCAAGTTTTGTGGGCTGAGAGAGTAGAAGAATGTTGATGACCTTGGCAGACATAGGGTAATTGGGAAAGGGACATGTTCTTTTGGGGGGCGGGGTGTTTGAGAAAAGAATTTACTTTCAGTGTAGACCCAGTGTTTGAGGGGATGACATTGAAATGGACATATCTTAGAGGTAGTTGGAAATAGGGGACCCAGAATTAGGTATTAGAAATTTTTGTGTGGTTTATTTGGAATTACATAGAAATAAACTTAGTATCTCCTTAAGCCCCAAGTGTCACTTGGGGTCTGAAGGTACAGCTAAGATGAAGAAACTGAAATAAATGACTTGTCCAAAGTCACACTGGTAATAAGGGTGAGAGATGGGATTTGAACCCAGGTCTTCTAACTCTAGTGAGCCAGCACTCTTTCTGCTATACCACTCTGATCCCTGATACTCATTTTTGGATATCACTTGTCTTTAATTTGCTTCCATACTGAGGAAAGAAAATTTGAAAGAGAGATGAATTCTTTTCAATTTCATTGAATGGCAGAGTTAGAATAGAATGGCAGAACTTAGAATCAGGAAGACCTGAGTTGAAATCCTGCTTCAGATACTTGCCTGCTATGTGATCCTGGGCAAGTCACTTAACCTCTGTTTGCCTTAGTTTCTTCATTTGTAAATCGAGGAAAAAGAAAACACCCACATCCCAGGGTTGTTATGCAGATCAAATGAGATAATAGTTGTAAAGCACTTTGCAAACCTTAAAGACCTATATAAATGCTAGCTCCCCTCCTCCTCCACCTCTTTCCTCTCCCTCTCCTCCCTCTCTCTTCTTCCCCTTCCCGTTCTTTTGCTTTATTTACCCTTTTCTTCCTCCTTCCCTCCCCCTTTTCTTCCCTAATTAAAATGTTGCTTCTCCATGAATTCATCTTTTCCTCCCCACCCCCACCCCCCCAACATTAGTGAACCTAACCTCATTGGTCTATAAACTGTCAGAGTAGTTTTACCAAAGCATGTTGATTATTTACTTTTATTCACACAGGTCTTTTCTTCTTGGAAATTCAAAGTGCTATATATACATGCACAATGACTTTTAATACCTTTATTGGATATTTAATCATGAAATGGAAAAATTAACAAAGACTTACGGTTTTCCTCAGGGTTCTCTTTCCCTTAATGTAGAGGGTAGCCCTTCATGGCCCAAAATTTCAGTGCCTGATAGCTAACCGTTTGGTAGTTATGCCCTCTGGACTTAGCCTGGCTAGTCTTTTACTAAGATGGTACCTGAAGCCTTTTCAGCTTAAGTAAGATCTGTCAGAGCTTAAATTGCAATGGCATAGCCTTCGTGAACCTGAGGTCCCTCCTGTGCCATGATGAAGTATCAGTAAAGGATTTGCACATCTCACAGCATAAGCAACAGTTCCCATTTATAGTTTCCTGGACCTCCTACAACTAGAGCAACCTAGTCATTTGTTTCCTAGGAGTGAGATTGGTCATTTGTAATTGTTATTTTTACTATATTAATAGCAAAGCGATCACTAATATTGGAAATAATTGGTTTAGTGGATAGAGTGCTGGAAATCAGGAGAACTGAGTTTTAATCCTGGCTATTTTATGAATTCACTAACTTTTGGTAAATCACAACCTTTCTATGTAAAATGGAGATCGTGGTGCTGCCCTTCCTATACCACGGGGTGTTGAGGATCCCTGGGGGAGTATATGGGAAAATGCCTTGTAATTTAAAAGTGTCACATAAATAACACCAATTCACTATTTTTCAATATTAACCATACATAGGCAAATAGAAAAAGCTAACTCCATTAATTTTTACTAATAGTGTCCCCTAAATAGAAAAGGGGAAAGCTCATGGGCATATAAGAAGGAAAAAGTATGGCATGGCAGATTGTTTAAAAGTGATTGGCCCGAATGTAGTAGCCCTCAGAGCCAACCTGGCCTTGTACTTGGGTCATGGGGTGAAGTCATCTTTGACTTAGACCCTGTTGCCACAATGTGTCCTGTAGTCATCAACCTAAAGGCCTCTATTGCTCCATGCTGTTTATCAGGGCACAATCCCCTATCACAAGCCTTTCTCAGCACTGCACATTAGGTAACCTTTTAGTCTTATGGAAAAATACTTTGTTCCTCTCTGAACAGGGATCAATTTATTTATTTTGAAGTGAATGATAGAAAGGCTTCTAACAGGTTTTGGTTTGTTGACCTCGAAAGTCCCACTGGGTAAGATAAAGTATTAGGCAACCACACCATTTTGTCCTCCCCTGCCCCTGGAAATTTACTTACATATTGTGGTGGTGTAGGGGTAGATCATTGTTTCCTGAAGTGAGATATTGGAACTTAGGTTGGTATTTTGTGGGTCTTAAAAAGAGAATCATATCACAGGTGGGGAGGGTCAACTTGGAAGGTGAGGGAGTTGGTTGATAATATAAAGAAAAAAGATATTTCTAACCCCCATAGCACAAAAACACAAGAATAATTTGATTGGCTTTAGGACCAACACAAATCTTGTCATTTAATTAACCTTACGTCTCTATTAATTTATTTAAAGATTTCTCCAAAAGGGGGGCCCATCCTCTGGAGGCATTTTGGTTTTAATGTAGGGTTTTCTTGTTTCAATTTAATCTCTTTTTTATTGAATCTCTTGAATTCCAAGCATGTAAACCAAATGCACTGTGAGCATTTTGGGTAAGAGTAAATATATTCTGCTTCCATTAAACCGTAAGAAACTGTATGGCTAAAGAAAAGCCTTCAGAATAAGAAAGACCTGAATTCCAGTCACCATGTTTACTGACACATATTGACCTTGGTCAACTCATTTATCCTCATAATGCCTCAGGCCTCTAAGGCTATAAGATGAAGAGCAGTTGCTAATTTTCATTGGAAGAAGTTTTCCTCATCAGGAATTCCCCATCCTAATAAGATCACAGGACTTGTTAAAAAAAAAAGAAAAGGCTAATTCTAATTTTGTGGGCAAGATATCCAGTATTGGTGATCAGGAGATCTGAGTTTTGATTTTTGTCTGATATTTACCATCCATGAGATTTTGGTCAAATTAGTCATCCTATTCATTGATAAAGATTAAGAGATCGTATTAAATGACCTCTTAAAGTACCTACCAGCTCTAAAAAAAAAAAAATGCCATGGCTGCATGATTTTGAAAGGCTTTGAGACACTTTATTAGATACTACGAACTCTTAAAAAGAAGAAAATTACAATTATTTGTATTCTCCTCCCCCCATTCTCTTCTTTTATCTTTACCCCCGATCCACATAAATAGGGAGAGAAAACCTTCATAATTCTTCAATTTTGCTTTTTCCCAGAGGGAAATAAAGCAGTGTGTGAAACGGTGGAAAGAGCACTGAGCTCTGGCGTTCAGGAGGCCTGGATTCTAGCTTTGGCTTTGCCAGGAACTGGTTGTGGGAATTTGGACAAAATCATTTTCTCTAAGCCTTCCCCTCTGTATCCATAAAGTTAAGGGGCTTTGTTAGATGACCTCAGAGGTCTCTTTTAGTTCTAAAGATTGTATGAAAAGCACAAATGGACTGAGATTTTAATTTTTCATTTATTTCTCACACAAATGTAAGTCTTGTTTTGTTCTCAAAGAAATGCTTACCTCCATACTTTTGAAATTCTTTGCTGACTATGATGGGATGTTGAGTTTTGCGCAGATACTGGAACTCTTACCAACCCAGCATTTCTTCCAAGGACTTGTCCCAGTAGCTTTAACCCTTTGCTGAAAATTTGAATCCTGTGAGAAGACATCCTTGTTTAATAGAGGCAGAAAACAGGAGACTGAGGTCAGTAGACCTACCAAAAGATGCAGACTCTTCCTCTCAAAGCATCTAACAGTCTTCAAGAATCAAGATGTCATGGTATGGCTCTCAGCCTTGGCTTAAGTCTTGAGCAGGTGGTTTATAAATCCACACTCACCATTACTTAAAGCAGAAGATACCAGGTTTTTTCCTCAAAATAATTTTTATTAATATCTTTTGTTTTTATATCACCTACATTTCCCAGTATATTCCTTCCCTCTCCCCCAGAGAGCTATCCCTTAGAACAAAATTAAAGAGGTGAAACCCATTTGGAAAAACTAACCAACATGTCAGAAAAGTTGGACACTATATTTAATGTTCCACCTGTTCCATAGTATTCCATCTCTAAGAAGATATTAGGGAAGGGGGAACCTGCCTTTTTTAACATTTTTTTTATTTTTAAATTTTTAGGCAATTGGGGTTAAGTGACTTGCCCGGGGTCACACAGCTAGTAAGTGTCAAGTGTTTGGTCTGAGGCTGAATTTGAACTGAGGTCCTCATGACTTCAGGACTGGTGCTCTATCCACTGCACCACCTAGCTGCCCCAAACCTGCCTTTTTATAAGCCTTCTTTTGGTCCAAGCTTGGTCATAATAATTTTACAGCATTCAGTTTTGAATTGTTGTTCTTTCCTTTTAGTTAGGATTGATTGTTTTTTAAAATTATACTCTTCCTCTCTATTCCAAAGATACACACACAACACACAAACACACACACACACAACCAAAAAACAAAAACAAAAAAACAGATGCCAAGCCTCCTTTCTGGTGAGAGGTTCTGGGAATTAGTGGCATAACCAGAGGGGCACCACTGATGGGTGCAGTCTGTGGGCATGTGCAGCTGTTGGCTTCATCATTCCTGCCAAATCTGTATATTAGTGATAGAGAAATCCACTAATAACCTTGAAGTTGCAGTTTATAAGTTGGGATCAGTGGTGGTAGAGAAGCCAAGCCTGGTATTGGGGGTTAGAGGGAAGACTTGAGGTTTCTGGTAGAGTTGGTTAGACTCAAGAGCCTTCAAACTCTGTCCCTTAATTCTGGAGTCTATCTGTAGGATAGACATACTTATGTCACTGGCAGGATCAAGAGCCCTTGAAACAATGGAGATTGTTCATAGGGATGCTGGTCCCAGGGGTCTGGTGCCTCTGCCAGTGAACTTCTTACTAGATGTATTGTTTGCCACACCTGTTTCATGCTATCCTAGATTTGGAACTGGAAGGGACCTTAGAGGTCATCTACTCTAATCTTATTTTACAAATGAGGAAACAGGCCCAGAAGGGTTCAGCAATTTGCTAGTGCTTAGATTAGTTTCAGGCAGCTTGGTAGCACAGAGGACAGAGCTCTGGGTCTAGAGTCAGGAAAACCTGAGTTCAAATTTGGTCTCACGCACTTACTAGCTTTGTGATCCTGGGCATATCACTTCACCTCTGTCGGCCTCAATTTCCTCAATTGTAAAATGGGGATAATAATAGCACTTAGCTCCCAGGGTTGTTGTGAGGGTTAAATGAGATAATATTTGTAAAGTGTTTAGTTAGTGTAGTACCTGGCATATAGTAGACAACCATGTAAATGTTAGCTTTTATTATCATCATCATCATCATCATTATTAGCCCTATCCATAGTCAATTGGTTAATAAATGACAGCGCTGGGATTTGACCCTAAATCCAACACTCTTTCCATCATGCCATGTTCCCTTCCCTTTTCCCCTTTCATTATTTAAATGGATGAGTCACTTAATCTCTGTCTGCCTCTGTTTCCTTGACTGTAAAATACCTCCCAGGGTTGTTGTGAAAGTTAAATGATATAAGTGCTTAGCACAGTGCTTGGCCCATAGTAAACACTAGATAAATGTTAGGTGATGTTAGTTATTATTAAATGATAAAACAGAAGCAACCTCTGTTTAAATTGTTAAGCTTGCTAGACAGCACATTTTATTCACATAAAAAGGCAATTTCTGTGTTCATTGATGAAAAGTTACCAAAGCTTGAAAGTTACTCCCCAGCACACGGGTGTTGGGGGGACCTGGGTTGTTACATTCTCTTCTTTTCTATAACTCAATGTTTCTGTTAAAGTAATCCATAAATATTGGACATTAATTAATTTTAACTTTTTCTCCTATAACTGTACTCTTATGATTTTGTACTACCTATCAAAATAGGGTTGGTACCAAGCAAAAAAGGCACATTCAACTTGTTCCTCATTATTATGTTGTGGGTAGAGTATGGAGTCAGGGAGACTTGAATTAAAATCCAACCTCAGTCACTTAATACCTGTGGGTCCCTGGGCAAGTCACTTAACCTTTGTCTCAGTTTCCTCAGTTGTAAAATGGGAATCATAATAGTACATGCTTCTCAGGGTTTTTGTGGGTATAGAATAAGATAATATTAGTGAAGTGATTAACACACTGCCTGGCACATAGTAGGTGCTTAATAAATGCTTGTTTCCTTCCCCTTCTCTTTATGGATAATTGAGAGCTGACTCTAAAAGCTTTCATCATTTTTTTTGTTGTTGTTGTTGTTTTTTTTTTTACTAAGAAAAGCATTCTTTGGCCGAACACTGAGTAGGTAGAGGAGTTCTGACTTTCTGCTCCATATTCTAGGAGGGACTGCATGTGTGATAACTGGGCAGCCTTTTGACACGATGAAAGTGAAGATGCAGACCTTTCCCAATTTGTACAGGGGCCTACTAAACTGCTGCATAAAGACATATACCCAAGTGGGCTTTCGAGGCTTCTACAAGGGGACCACCCCAGCACTAATTGCCAACATTGCAGAGAACTCTGTCCTCTTCATGTGCTATGGTTTCTGCCAACAAATCGTGAGGAAGATAGTTGGACTGGAGAAGACTTCAAAGCTGAGGTTTGTCAAAAGTCTTTTTCTTTTATTGATGACTTTTGTTTTTACATCATGCTCATTTCCAAATAATCACCTTCCCTCCCTCTCCCCATGGAGGGCTCTTGTAACAAATATTTTAAAAGAAGGAAAAAAACGTAGTTCAACCAAACCAACTGACACATTGAATACATTGGATAGCGTGTGCATTATTATTGATACCTATAGTCCCTCTATTTGCCCTACTACCACAGTTGAAGGACTGAAGATACATTTTCTTAACTCTTTGCTAGGATCAAGCTTTGCCATTATAATTCCACAATATTCAGTTTTGTGTTGTTATTTTTTTCTGTTTACATTATTATTGTCATTTATATATTGTTCTCCTGGTTCTGCTTACTTCAATCTATACCAGTTAATATAAATATTCTCATACTTCTGAATTTTTTATATTAACTATTTCTTAAAGAGCAATCATGTTTCATTACATCAGGTACCATACAGCCATTTCCCAATCTATCTGCTTTGTTTCTAGTTCTTTGCCACCATTAAAGGTGCTGTTATGAATATTTTAGCATTTATGGTTCCTTTCTTTTGCCTTTGATCTTCTTGAAATATGTACCCAGCAGTAGGAATTTCTGGTTCAAAGGGTATGGGCAGTAAATGCTGTCTTAATAATTTACTTATTTTTTTATTTTTTTATCAGCCCCTGATGTGTCCTCCTCATAAATGGATGAGGAGATCATAGTGGTGTTTAAAGTATCTCTTAGGCATGCATAGGCCCTTGCTTCAGGAGTTTCTGATTATAGAAAAGCAAGCTGTAAGGCAAGCCACGTGCTTGGGAAAACAGAACTATGGTCTCTATTTCAGGGACCGATGCTTATTTGTCCATGCTACAGAAAGCAGTCACAGAATCTCGGAGTGGGAAGAGACCTAGACATTATTCTAGTCTAACCCATTCCTGGGTAGGAGCTCCCTTCTATTAGCTCTTTGACAGGTGGTTACCTGTATTCCTCATGAAGACCACCAGTAACTAGAAACCCGTCATCCCTTGAGGTGGGGCCGATCTAAGTGGTAGGAAGGCTTTTCTTCTGTTGTGTCAAGAAAACTGCCTCTGTGCAATTTCTGCTTCCTGAGGCCAAACAAGGGGAAAGAATACTCCTGAGGTACAAAGGTTGTATAGCTGTGGGTGTGTGATTGTCTTATCTAAACCACACCAGTAACACCTAGGCTTTAGCATGCCCTACAACATACACTCGCAGACGGAGTCTAAATTCAGCCTTTACCACAGGCCTTTCAAAAAATGGTTGGTAAGATTTTCAATTTCCCTCTCAACAAGCATTTATTATTCCCAGTGTTTCCCATTGTACACCTTGGTAAATGGTTCTTGAGGGAAATAGCTGGTTTCCATCTAAAATGTTCCCAATAAAAATGGTTTTTATGTTTAAAGGCATGTGCCCACAGCTTTTCAGAAAATTTGGTTATCCTGAGTGGTCTAGATTGCAGAAATTTTGCTGTAATTGAATGAGGAGGAGAAATCCAGTTCTTGGTTTTTTCTTGATACCTGGAGAACCTTGTTATAATGTCTTTTTGCAATCCATGTTGTGGGGTGAAACAATGTTTTATAATGGTGAATGAGTGGTATTTTTTTTCTTTCCATTCTTTTCCCTTTCTCTGACCTTCCCTTTCCACAGAGAACTCATTATGTGAAAACTTACACCACCTGTGCAGACTCAGCAATTTGTCTGTAATTCACAGTCTTAGAGTTACCTGGGGCACCAAGAAGTCTAGGCAGTCAGCAAGCATTTATTAAGTGCTTACTGTATGCCAGACACTGTGTTTACTGCTGGAGATTAAAATGCCAAAAATGAATGAATGAATAAATGAATAAATAAAATAGACCCTGACCTCAAGAAACTTCCATTCTAAAAGGGGAGACTGTGTAGAGACAACTAGGTAGATACAAAGAGTACTGAGTAGATGGATGGGACTCTGGAAGAGGAAGGTATTAGCAGTTATGGGGGGACTAGGGAAGGCCTCCTACATAAGATGGGGTTTTTACTTAGTCCTGAAGAAAGTCAGGGAAACTAAGACGTGGGAATGAGGGGGCAGATAACAATTCCAGATGTGAGAGAATGTTTGGCTCACATGAAGGTCTGGAGATGAGAGATAGAATGTTGGGTTTGAGGAGCTGTAAGAGGCTAGTATGGCTAGATCATAGAGGCTGGAAAGTACTTAAAAAGACTGAAAGAGTTGGAAGGGCCAGATTGTGAAGAGCTTTAAATGCCAAAGGGATTAATATTTGATTCTGGAGCTAATTGAGAGAGCCACTGGAGCTCCTTGGATAGGTGGATGAAGGTGTGTATATAAACTTCAGAAAAATCACCATGGCTGCTGAAGGAAGGATAGATTAGAGTGACCAGAGCCTCAAGGTGGGGAGACTAATTAGGAGCTTATTGTAGTAGTCCAGGGAAGAGGTAATTAGGACTTCAACTAAGATTGAGGCTCTATGAGTGAAGAGGAGAGGATATATAAGAGAGATGTTGTCAAAGTAGAAATGACAAGATTTGGCAACATATTGGTCATGTGGAGTGAGTCAAAGTGAGGAGGCAAAGACCTAGTGATTTGCTAGGATCACATAGTGTGTCTATATCAGAGATACAGGATTTGAATCCAGATATTCCTAATTTTTAGACCAGTCATCTATCCACTAAGCAAGAATTAACCCATGTAACATCTGCATAACTTATAAAACATCATAAATGTAATTGCAACTAGTAATATGATAGGATTGTAGATGTAGAGTTGAAAGGGATTTCATATGGCATCTTAAACCCCTTCATTTTATAGATGAAGGAACTGAGGCCCCAAGAGGTTAACAGTGACCTGTCTGCATAGCTAGTAAAAAACAAAGTCGAGAATCAGACCTTTGTCCTCTGACTACGAATCCAGGATGAGTTCCAATGAACCATGTTACCCAAATCCTTTGGTCAACTGTATTTTTTCTCTGTTAAGATCAGTCACTCAAGTTTATTAGCATTAAAAAATAACATAATCATAAGTAGCTCACATTTATACACTAATACATATTTGATTGATAAACATTTTGACTGTTAATAGTAGCCATCATTTATATAGTGCTTTAAAAGGTTTGCAAGGCATTTACATATGTTGACTGATTTGGTACTAACTTCTGAATAGCATTAAGGGTACCTGGATAATGTTTAATCAAATCTTAGGGGCAGTGGAAATATTTGTAATACTGTATTAAGGAAAGACTTCACAAATTTCTACCTCTTCTTTCTCTTAAGAGACAGAGAATGTCCTCTGCTTAAGTACAGTTGGAAGATTGTTCCTCTCATGCGTTCATGACTGTGTTTGGGGTCAGGGAATAGATGGGGGCTGGGTAGTAGGAGGAGATAGTGAAAGAGCTTTACCTTCCACTTTCCAGTATTATTGGGGATCTCTGGCAACCATGGAGGATGAGGAGAATTCCTTTTCTCCTGTCTCCTACTTTAGAATGCAGCTTCTATCAGATAGCTTGCAGTCTCCAAAGATAGAGAAAAAAAGCCAACTCTTCACACTGACCTCCCCTAATTTCTTGGCCATCTCCAGCATACAAAGAGCCCTCTGTGGGCCTTAGTAGGAGCTTAGGGGATAGAGCTAGGTTATAAAATGGGACTTGTGCAGCCTAGGTGATTATATCCGGACTTCAAAGTATTTCTTAGAGACCTAAAGTCCACACTGAATCCAGAATAATCTAGTCCGTATTTGCTACTCACTTGGATTTCCATCAGACCCTTCATTGAGAGTGGAGTGAGGAGTGTCAGATAGGCAAGCATATGCCTATGCCGATATTGCCAATATATCCTTAGGTGCCTGGATTTCCTTTCATTCAAAACAGCTTAAGCTGAATGTGGCAGAGGGAAAAGGAGAGAGAAGTGGACTCCTGAGAAGCCCATTTAATACCAGTCCCTACTCCTGGCCTGGCTTCACCAAGCTTTTGACAAATCAAATCAGTCCCCAGCTCCTTTCTACCTCTCCAGCTGTCCCCAAGGGCTGGTTCCTTTTATGATACTATTGTCTCTAAGAATTCAGCCCTGGCCTCTCTCTAAAACCAGCCTCTGAGGGTACTGCACTGTAATGTCCAAAAGCTATCTATACTTATGGACTGTTAACCTTTGGTCCCTAAAGCTAGATAATAACCTCTTAATGACTTTAACTGATAGGTCTCAGTCACCTGACTGACAGGGTGGCCCTGAAAAAGCCTGGGAGAATGGAAAAGTTTAAAGCAGGGGTGGGGAACTTGCAGCCTTGAGGCCTCAAACGAGGCCGTTTGACTGAATCCAAACTTCACTGAACAAATCCTCTTAATAAAAAGATTTGTTCTGTAAAACTCAGTCAAAGGCCACACCCAAGGACAGAATGTGGTCTCGAGGCTGCAGGTTCCCCACCCTGGTTAAAGTTTGGGTTTTAGCAGAATTAGGAAAGCAAAGATTTTTGCTTTGTGATAGTTGGAGGGAAGTGAGAGGAAGCTTATGTACTGGGTACCACTTGGCAATAGAGTTTGAAAGAATAATACAATGCATGTATGTCCACAAATATATTATACATGTAAATATTTGTATGTTTATCTTTTTAAAAATTTAAAAGTAAATTCCAAAAGGAAACGTGCCCCAAGCAGTGTGTTCTCCTTGTGAAAGAAAGCCCCTCTGAGGCCCAATTGTCAGGAACAGGGTCACTTGGCAATGTCTCCTTGCTCTCTCCACCTTTAAGCCAAAGTACAAGGCCTGCTGCACTTTCCGTTAACATTAACTGCCCTACCATGTAGGGCTAGTGTTTTCTGAATTAATTTCCTTTTTTAGCCAGTAGACTGGATCACTTGGGTGTGAGTATCATTATCAGTGCTAAGAACTTAGGGCTACCTGTGCAAGACTGTTGACCTGCTGTTGTTGTAGAACATTAGTGTAACTTAGGAAATCTACGGCTTGCTAGGTTTGGCTTGCCAGAAAATTCCCAGCTCTGGT